GACGAACTATAATTAGGTCGCGAGGGAAAATTGCACTCCACCCTTCGTCCGCCTTCTTCCTTCGCCGTTTCATTATGTCACGTCTAATTAAGGTCTGTACCTCATGGGCACAGATGCACTGGAGCACTGGTTGTGGCATTGTTATCCGCCATTAGGCGATTTCTTTGTCCGCTTTATATACGTCATGCTGTAGCTAATCGATTTTGCGTGATCGTCTCCAGCATCATGTATGGTTAAACAGGCTGAGCGTTAAACACATGTTCTTGCTTGAAGCTATTAAACGAATATAATAGAATATGGTGATCCTTTTAAATGAAACGAAATAAGTTCCACAGTTCCTTCTTATTCTATTGCATCGCAGACAACGCCGGATGCCGTACGAGCATTCCACCTTGATTTAGTAAATGCATGATCATGTCAGATTTTCCGATCTTGTCAGAGGTCTTCTTGGCGGCCGTCTACCATCAGGTTTTGCGTTCAGCAGTTTTTCCCCTAGACGGCTATCGTCCATTCGTTGAAAATGGCCCCTCTTCTTACACGCATTATTTGCAGCCAGTCGGTCACTTCAGTTGAATATTCTGATCTCGTACAGCTGTAGTGTATACCAAATCGTTCCATTTCACTCCTAATATAAATCTTAAAATCTTCAGTTCTGTCACTGACGAATAAATCTAGGCATGGAGTAAAGTGGAGAGAATTATCAGTAGAACAAGACCATATCATCTCCGACAGCGAGTTATACAACTTCATTGCACATGAACAGACCATTTTTACTGTGACTGTTAAACTTCTAAACTACTTTCCGTCGTTCCCTTCGTGAATGTGACTACGAGTTACCTTTTAGAGGAAATGTCGCAATACGATTTAACGTAAATCGACTTGATTATTGGTTTACACTTTAGATTATTACTGTTAACTTTAGACTTTAAGCTTCAGACATTCTGAGCTTTCGTTACAAGTTATATGCAGCGTTTGACCAGCTATGGTCAAAGATGACACTGTGGTCCAACCCGCTGATTATGCAGAAGATATTCCGGAAGGATGATATTCATTTGACGGATCAATTATATACCGCGAAAATTACTACAAGAGCTACCGGCATGCATTGTTTTGAAGCCGTGATTCGACCCGATGGATAGAGATGATCCTATTACTACTTCCTTTATTACCAATCAATAACGAAGAGTGGAAGTAAAGTTTGTAACAATTGTGATGTCAATCCTCCTGACACTTCCATGATAGGAGCTGTTTGGAGATCATTTTATATTCTAGCGCTGTTCTATCTATTTTCGTGATGCCTGCTACGGTACTTTTCTGTTTTGATGATAATGGCCACACCTGAAAATCAAGCGCAACTAATAGATTTAGTTTTCTTCTCACGGCGTAGTACCTGCCGATGTGTTTTGGAACGATCGATAAAAGTTGATTTTTCTCAGTCAGGATTCAGTTAATCAGTTTAGATGACCTATTGCTTTTTTGGGTCACCGAGGCAAACGCGTAACGTAGTGTCTTCAGCGTTTGACATTTGCTTGAAGGTACCCTGTCTTGAGCAGAATGTATCGATAATTCCGTCGATTCTTAGCTGTCCTGGATGTCTTCCTGTTTGTTTCTCCTTTTTTCTGGAGTATTCGCAGTACGTGCCAAAGTCATCGCAACTATGACTTTTTCATATAGAGAAGCAGCGGTTCTACACCAAGGCTCCTCTCCCAGATATCTGCACTACGGAAATGCA